ATTTTTTCCACCTAAAAACAGAAAAAACATCCGAAAAATTTTCTCCGAAAATTTTCAACTCACCAGTGTTGGGTTAGTTTCAGTTTTAAAACCTTCCACGAGTTGTTCTAAAACGTCACTCGCCCCAAAAATAATTCTGATTTTTGCTGTTCCAGTGGCTGCTAGCACCCGCCGGGAAATTTTTCCTTCTATCGCTTCCGCACCACCCGTCCTGAGAAATCAAAAAAACAATCATTAAATTTTTTCTCCAACGGATCTGTCATCAGTGTGTTTATGAAAAACACCAGTGAAAAACAAATTTCACGACTTCTGCATATCACCGCGAATAATACCGCGTTTTTCACCGAGTTTCACGCCACTTCACGTAAAACGGGTCGTGAAACTCCAGTAAAGAACTAGTAAACTCCTCCTGATTCCTCCTATTTTTGTTTCGGAACTTCACCAACCTAGTGATATGAAAAACACTAGTGGAAAACAATTTTCACGACTTCTGCATATCACCGCGAATATTATCGCGTTTTTCACCGAGTTTTACGCCACTTCACGTAAAACGGGTTGTGAAACTCCAATACACCTCTAACTACCTTCAACGGCGCTACCACGATTAGATTCCACATGTGGGAAGTCGGTTCTGGAGGCGTTTTCGAAACACAGCAGACCCCCAGGAAGATGCTATTGCATCATCATTATCGCTGTCCCAATTCCCCGTAGCACACAATGTGTCTCTCTCGGGTGAAGGAAGCCCTCAGCTGAGCTTATGATGTAGATAGTCTACATCGATCAAGTGTAATCAGGCTGCTGCCTTCTAAGGCATTCCTTTGCTATTATATCCAGTATAGTGTTATCTCAATGGGGAAATCAATTCTCACTTGGTGAAAGAAGTGATGAATTCTGTGATAGCCGCACGGAGCTTCTTTTTCGCATCGATCAACTCCGCAGTATCCTGAAATTCGATAAAAAAATTGGAGTTTCGCCACCCTAGTGATATGAAAAACATATTTCACGTAGTACAGGCCGCGAATATCATCGCGTTTTTCACCGAGTTCTACAGTTTTTATCGAGTCGATAATAAGGAGATTAACAACTACTGTTACGATCAGATTATTCATAAAACTTTCGGCTGAGAATTTAAGTATTCCACCAAATTCATGGTCATGCTTACAATGTGAACCAAACAAATACGCATATCTAGATTTCCGGTATGGCTTTATTCAATTTGAGACTAATACGACTATAGACTGCGGAACGCTTCTGAAACGTTGGTGTCAATCGATTCACATTGTTATCATGTTGATATTACTCAAAGTTGACTTTCGACAAACTCCCGAAAAATCGAACGCTAAGTTGAAACTCCTACTATGCATAACTGGAGTTTCACCCGTTTTACGTGAAGTGGCGTTATACTTCACGTGAAAAACGCGATTTGAAGTGAATTGAAAAATCGCCTACTCGGCGAATTACTCCGAAAAGATCACCTTACTTCACGTAAAGTGTCTACAATACTCACTACTTTTTACATGTGTTTTTCGCGAAGTGAATTGTGAAATGTGTTTTTCACTATCATGGATAAAACCGCGCTGTATACAAAATGGCAAACGCCCTTCACTTACTCCAGGAAGAGGGCGTGCGATCATTGACGCCTTGGCACCGATGATTTCAACGAGTTTTGGTATCTCTTCGCGATACGTGATAACATCTGATGCTTTATCCGCGATAAACGGGAAACAGCAATTCTCCACAAGCTGAAAGCAAATACACGTATGAGTTTAAATATCGCCGCTATTTTCTCACCATAAAAATTGTGTTCAGAATTTCCACTTTGTTTTTCTTTTCATCCTCATAAAACTGAACAAATCTCATCATCAGCTCAGTCAAATCCTCGAGCTCCGAATAATGCCAACCCTCGTTGTGGCTGAAATGACCGCGCGCCATGAAATTCATCAACAATGGAGTTTCATCCGTGATATGAAAAACACTAGTGAAAAACATATTTCACGACTACTGCATAGTGTGAATATCGCGTATTTCACCGAGTTTTACGCCACGTCACGTGAAACGGGTGAAACTCCAATATTGGAATATACGCCCGCTTTCCTCAACTGAGCTCAGGATTTCATACACGAATCAGGACGGGAATGTCCAAAAAGCATATTTCATATTTTCGCCGACACATGTAGTTAACTTTTTTTTGCAAATCATTATATTGGAGTTTCACCCGTTTTACGTAAACTGGTGTAAAACTCCGTGTAAAACTCGATATTCAGACTACGCAGTAGTCGTGAAATATGTTTTTCACTAGCGTTTTTCATATCGTGGGTGAAACTCGATTGTGCTAATTATATACTCAATCAACATTACCATATATGATCAATTATTGGAGTCTCACCCGTTTCACGCGAAGTGGCGTAATACTCCATATATCACTACTCTACTAAGTTACCATATATTATCAATGATTAAATTGTACTAAACTTGTGCATATTTTTCTATACTGTTCATAAATGGCCTTCCAGAATGTAACTAACCTCGTCGCGATGTGTTTAGCCACTTCAATGTGTCTTCGTATAAGCCCTCTAGTATGAGGAGCTTCCATCTGGAAGAACATCATCTCAAATGCAGGGTGGTGTTTTCCGATAGCTGTTGTCGATGACATAGGATGGTGCTTTTTCCTGATGCTTGCTGATTTCCAGAAATGCAAAAAAATTTCCCGAAAATTCGATCAGTGATGCATTCAAGCAATGAAGTTTCACAACCCGTTTTACGTGAAGTGGCGTCGTAAAACTCGGTGAAAAAACGCGACATTCGCGGTGATATGCAGTAGTCGTGGAATATATCTTTCACTAGTGTTTTTCATATCACTAGGGTAAAACTCCAATCTAATGGCGGACCGAGCGAAGCAACAACAGACATTCTCGCGATGCGCGTGCGTGCGGAATTATTCGGACTTATCTACCGAGCGAAGGAGGCCACCAGACAGATCGGACGACTCCTCTATGTGCCGAGGTTTGCCCGAAGATCTAAAAGCTCGCTTGTGCGAACAGCTCTAAGATATATGGACGAAAAAACTTTTTTGACGGAAAAATGCACCGGGAATATATACCAAATATATTGATTGAATCAATTGACGTGGACTAAGCGAGCTCCGCCCCTTGATAGGGTTGGGATAGCCTATATACGGAATTTCAGCTCCAGATGAAAAGTTATGCGGTGACACGAGATGGTGACTCTACATTGTGCATACTATGAAAGTGTCAAGTGACTTGATTAATGTCGCACTATACAGTAGTTGGAGAGTGAAATATATTTTTCACTAGTGTTTTTCATATCACGGGTGGAACTACAATAAGCTTCTTGGTGTGATACTTAAACCATGGGTAAAATGCGAACGAGAAAAATGACCGTACACAATTTTTTTGTGGAAACAGAATTATACACGTTTGACATGGTAGATTATACGAGCCACAAGTGAAACGCTCATCAACCTCAACCAATCAAACAAATAAGTACACAATATGTGATGAACCTGCATTAATCACGCAGGGAACTCGAGTGTGTCTAAGGATCTCTGATAATTTGGTGTATCTCGCTCGCCTGGGGATAGCCGTGTGCTGTCCCATCGTGGCAGCGCGACAAAGATCTCGCTCGCCTCGTATTCTATTGTTGAACTATAATATTATTATTCTCGCTCGGATGCATCTATCTAACGGTTTTGGATACTAGAAACGGTTAGATCCGTCTCTGGTTTTCTCTAAGCTAGGGAAGCTAGTATTCTAGTGGTAATTGTTAGACTGGACTGAGTCCAGTGATTGATTGTGTGATCTGCTACCTCATCCTAACTCTAGTTCTACTTGAGTTAACCAGTCCTCACTAGTATCGCATCGTAATCTCTATTGCCTCA